ACTTGCAGAGTTCTCTGAGAGGGTTGGAGGAATCGAACCTGGGTTGACTAGGTCAGTTGCATGCAAGGCAAACGCCCTACCCGCAGTGTTACCACTCCAACCCAGAAACCAAAGTACACTTACATAATTCTATCTCATACTTGGACTTTTTTTTTTACTTCACAACTATTTTGATCACATAATTTTATTTGGGGTGCCCCAGAGTGGGGCGGGTGAGAGTCCTCCCCACCCCAAGGGACCCAGCCCCAGCAGCCAACCTCCACTACCCAACAGTCACTACGCTCCAGGCCACTAAGTGGCCGCACGACAGATCATAAGACACTTCCTACCCATTTTCCATAATTACCACACCATATTTGATGGGGCTTATACAGTAGGCAACGAATCACAGAAAGAAATATATAAATAAATGCCTCTCAGAGAGTCCAGCAAGCTACTGAGAGTATCCCGCCCACATGGGCAGAGCCTGGCAAGCTCCCTGTGGCGTATTCAATATGACAAAACCAGCAACGAAAACAGATCTCATTCCCCTGGCCCTGAAAGAGCCTCCAATCATTGGGGAAAGATGAGTAAGAAGAGGTTGCTAAAAATCTCAAAAATCTCAGGGCTGGGAGGAATAGAGACGTTACTGGCCTCTTGCCCTCTCAAGTAAATTGACGAACAATGGGATGACAGTGATCACTTGAACACTTTTTATAATTAAAAGGGTGTAATGAATAATGGTATAAAGACAATAGGCACATAGTGAACTCTTTAGGGTCAGCCTAAATTAGGAAACAACCCAAGTGCCCAAGAACAGATGACTAGATAAAGAAACTATGTACATATACACAGTGGAATACTACTTCACTTTTTTTATTTCCTGTTTATATTTTATTCACATATTTAAAATAGGGATAATATATTTAAATTTAAACATTATATGCTAATGACATAGTGATTAGATGATTGTCATGTTTCCTATTTTCTTTTTTTTCCTTTTTTTAATTAATATTTATTAGTGAAACACCATGAGCTACAGTTGTAGACTTACAAATTTTTGTGCTTGGGTTTCGATTGTACAATAATCAAATACCCATCCCTCCACCAGTGCCCATTTTCCACCACCATGGATCCCAGTATCCCTCCCATCCCCATCCCCCCCATACCACCCTGCCTCTGTGGCAGGGCATTCCCTTTTGTTCTCTCTCTACTTTTGGGTGTTGTGGTCTGCAAAAGAGGCATTGAGTGGCAAACATGTTCAGTCCATAGTCTACTTTCAACATGCATCTCCCCTCCTGGGAGGATCCTCCAAACACCCTTTATTTGGTGCTCCCTATCCGAGCTGCCCTTTCCCCTAGAATGCCCAGCTGGCCTCTAAGCCACTACTTCACTTTTAAGCAAAAGTAAAATCTTACAATTTTTTGCTACATGGATTGATAAAGGAGAGCAAGTTGCTGAGTGAAGAGAGTCAGTTGGAGAGGGATAGAGTCAAAGTGATCTCTCATAACTGTGATACAAAGAACCAATGGAGGGGCATAATGAATATCTAAAGGCAACAAAAATTGAGAACTTATCTATAATAGGGTTACTGGGGGTTCGCAGGAGATTCTGGGATAATGGTGGAAGGAAATAGGTACTCTGGTAGAGGGTGTGGTGTCGGAAAATATTCTGCATGAAACCTACCATATAAACCAAGATATTATGAACTATAGCACTGTAGCACTGTAGCACTGTCCTTCCATTGTTCATCGATTTGCTCTAGGGGAACAAGTAACGTCTCCATCATGAGACTTGTCACTGTGTTTGGCATATTGAATATGTCATGGGTAGCTTGCCAGGCTTTTCCGTGTGGGTGAGATACTCTCCGTAGCTTACCGGGCTCCCTGAGAGCGGCAGAGGATTGTAAACTATGGTACGTAAATATTTTTCATTAAAAAAATAAAACATATGCTTTGGATGGAGTCTCCAAGAAGTTTTCATTGATCCTAGGATCACTCCCTGTAATTACTGGAGTCACTCATTCTACCAAGTGAGTCACAGAGTTCAATGCAAGCACCCTCAACTATAGAGCCAGTCCATTCCACAGAGCCAGAGACCACCAAGGCCAATTTAGCAATGCTAAGGGCCATGTGGCAAGAGTGTTAAAACTCAGGTCCCAATACATATCAAGTGTGCACTCCTGACCACTGAAATATCCTGCTAGTCTCAGCATATGATTCTTGTTTCAAGTACTTATTCTTGAATAAGTTTTGTAGAGAAACTATACTGCGTAATGCACTTGCCTAAAATGTAGCTGGCCTGGGTTCAATAATGAGCTACACTAGATAAAGAACCAGCAGTACATACACATCATTTACATACACATCATTTACATACACACCATTTACCAAGCACTGCCCCTACCCTGAAAAAAATCATTCTGATAAATATGTAAATGGTCACAATTATTTGAAAATTTAGAGTAGTGTTTTGAAGTGGAACACCATTTCCTTTTTCAATTACTTATTTCAATCTTTAATATGCCATAGTTGGTGAACATTTTATCTCCCTAGTTTCACCTTTACATTTTGACTTGTCAGCATAATGAATTATTCAATGGCAGAAATAGATAAAATTCAGATGATATATCTCAGATTCCTGACACTCACCAGCTGTTAAAAGTGTATATTTTTAAAGCATATTTTTCCAAGTCCAGAAAATGTCTTTTTTATACTCGAACATTTCAAAATAGAAATAGCAGTCATGTCCAATATAAATGAGGTTAATTAAAAGTAAAATATTTTTTAGAATAAAGAGAGAAGTTAAAAGACAATACAGAGGAAACCAGTCAGATGGTAGCATTTCAAAATATTTCTATACGAAGCCACAACACTATTATTCAAGTAGCTGACATTATTATTATTACAGATTGATCACTTTGCTTACTATCTTAACTATGCAGAAAAACTAAGTAAATCTTATCTGTCTGTAAAATTTTTTCATTAATAATATAGTGTTAGTTAAACATAAAAAAAGGATGTGTCCTGTTCTAACCGGCGTTTAGTTTCCTTAATTGCGAAATTAAGTTATTCTGTGCTGAGAACACCATGACAGTTGACTTTTATAATACAGGAAAATCACTTGTTTCTAATGAGAGAAACCATTTTCAAACATTGCTTTCTGAAATTTCTTAACTCTTTCGAGAATAGTGTCACAACGCTTCAGGTACATTGACAGTAGACAATGGAAACGCTTTTTGGATTTTTATTTAGATCCCTGATAATTAAAATAAAGGGCAGTGCAAGAGTATCCTGTAGATGACAAAAGTGACTCCTGTTTCAGGAGTGTTTATTTGTTGAATGACCCCCCAAGCCCCTGCTGAATGAAATCTAAAGAATCGTAAGAGGACATAAGGCTCTCTCCATGGTCTGGCTCTACACCTCATTTCCCTGTTAACTGCTTGAAGCTTGCTACCCCAGGCCTCCAAGCTTTAACTTCTGCCTTTCCTTCTGTTCAAACATATTTCCACTTTTACTCATTAACCAAAGCCTTCTGCTATAGCATAATTTAGCTCAGATAACCTTTGCGATAATCTTCCCTGAGTCCACAGATTAATGTTTCTAAGCTATATTTTGTTAGCATTTTTGCATAGCTTCCTGTTAGCAGTTATATGTTACAAGGACAAAGGACAGCTTAAAGATAGTTTATTATATACATATAAAACAAAATATATACTTGTTACATGAATATTGCATAGCCTCACTTGCTGTTTGAGATATCAAATAATTAAACTTTGTAACAACTACTTCTAATTACATTTAGTTTACTAAAATGGATATAAATTTAGTTTATAAAAACCTAAATATGAGTTTAATTTCTGTTGCTCATGAAGAGTATAACTCTTTCTCACTAACCCTATCTGATTAGTAGTTTCTACACTTATACCAATGAACATACAACTAAGGTGTGACTACAATTAAGTGTAAAATGCCCATAAAATATTCTGTACAAGTTCCATGTCAAGTGAGCTTCCTTACCTTTTTTCTTCCTGTAACATGCGATATTTTACTCCCATGGGTCTTCATTAATAATATCTCATATGAATAGATATTAAATTCATTCAATGCATATTAGACTTACACTAGATTTTCTTATATCTTTTCTTTGACTTATAATGTACTACCAGACCAAATTCCAACACATAAATCTCCTTTCTTGCTTTACTCTTCACTTAAGCATTACCTGCTCAATGGAGACTATCAGAATAAATTCACAGACTTTCATACTACCTTTCAAATTCATTTATAATAATACTGGATATATTCTTAAACCAAAATTATTATTCCATATGGATATAGCTTAATTTTCTCTAATCTATATTCTCATGTCAGTATAAAAAACTATTAAATATATATTGTTTTCAAATGTTGATGAATATTCTACCATAAAAATTTAATAGTCTGGACAAATATACTTTAAATTATGGTAGAACATTCATCAACATTTGAAAACAATATATACTTAATATAAAATATAAATCCATAAATTGTAACATTTTAAAATGCCATTGCTCCTTAAGTTGTTGGATTTGGGGTCACACTTGGCTATACTCAGAGCTTACTCTTGGTTCTGTGCTCTCCTGGCAGGGTACATGGGATCATGTAGGCTACTGGTGATCAAAACTGTGTCGGCAGCATGCAAGGCAAATGCCATACTTGCTGTATGATTGTTTTGATCCCATAAATCCATGTATATTATAAAAATATGTTCATTGATTACAACCTTAGTACAAATTAGTTCCTTTAAAAATATTGAGACGTACACAAAATTATATACTTCTCAATTATATTTAAGTCCTCTTAAAATTATTTAAAAATAAAATACAAGATATTGTATTGAAATCACCAAGCTTTTTAAATAAATTGTGAACTACTTGCTGTCCAAATAAATTTTCATAATATCAAAATGCCTATATTACTCTCTACAAGTTTTTTCAACAGTCTATTTATACATGGAATCAATAAATGAGTCTAAGTTACCTTAATAACCAAATCAAATTTCTGATAAAAGTCTCTGTTTACTGGCTCCAGAAGAGTGAGTTCTGCGGTCCTCGGATGCATATGGAAAAATCGTGGGTAATCTTCAGGAGTCCCTGAAAGATATTAAGATTTTAGCACATAGTAGAGAGCAATAACAAATATGTTTATCTGCTATATCTATTTTCCTTCATTAACTGAGAAACAAAATTACATTTTCATTAGTAAATTAAGGTTCAGAATTATACAGTCTAGGGAAAACAGATGCAAATGGGGTATATAATTAATTAGCTTAGAAAAGTGAAGATGAAAAAATTTTTTGTTTGGATGATTTTCCAAATACCTTTTATTAAGAGAGATCTTTAATTAATTTAAAACTTTATTGATGAAAAGAGACATTAAATATAATGAGATCAAATTCTGAATTATAAAACCTTATCTTAATGGTGCATAAATCTTAATTATAGCTTGCATGGTTTTTCAACATACTATAATAAACAACAAGTAATTTGTACCAAATACCAAGATGTGTGGCAATTAAAATTAACATAGTGTCTTCCAGCTATGCAAATATTTTTCTTAGGCTAAGTATTCCACTAATTGTATAGATCAAATCAAATACAAATATAGGTTTGATATTGTTTTGAAAGTCTAAAAGGATATTAATAAATGCAGGAAATTTTTAAATATAAGAATATAATCCATCCTGAAGACATTTTGTTCAATTGTATCCTCTTGTATACTTCTATATTCTTTTTCCAAGAGTGAAGAAAATGCAAATCTAAAATAATAGATTTATAAAGTACAAATATTTGGCTAAACAATAACTGCAAGAATAAAATGGCACATTTCTAGTTTTGAAGCCAAATCAATAAACCCTGGCCAGAGAAATAAGACAATGGAGAGCTGTTTGCCTTGCACACAGCTGACTGTTGTTAGGTCCCAGGAATGACATATGATCCCCCAAACACCAAGAGTCATTCCTGATCACAGAGACGAGAGTGATCCCGAGTACTGCAGGTTTACCCCAAAACCAAACAAAGCAGAAACATGGAGATCACTTCCATTTTGGAGAGGAGGATTTGGGGGCTTTTCAAAATTAAACGACTGGCCCAAATTTAAAAGAACAATAAGACCATTTACATTTAAATCTAGGTTGCCGAAAAATATATTATTATGAGTGTAATACTGCTTTCAAGTTTGAGAAAACTTGCTTCACGTATAAAGGCCAAAAGGATGATTTTCTTGGTAACATGTGACTATGTTATGGAGACAGAGAGACAGAGACAAAGAGACACAGAGAGAGAAAGAAAGGTGTCTGCTAAACAGGCAGGTGGAGTCGGGGGAGGGATAGAAACTAGGGACATGAGTCAGGAAAAGGTACAGTTGTGAAAGGACGGGTGTTTGAACATCGCATGACTAACCCCAATCAAAAACAACTTTGTATCTGTAACTTTGCATTTCACTATGGTTTGATTTTTTTAATATAAAAGACTATATTTTTTTTCTCTCATTCTCTGGCCAACATCTTCAAAGTGAAACGGTACGGTATGATTTCTACATACTGTCTTTGTTTCCTTAACTCTAACTTGAATAAAACTTAAACTAAAACTTAAGTAAAACTCAGCTAGCTAAGCAAAACTTTCAGAATTTAGGACTAGTTAAAATCCTGTAAAATAAAAGAAAATGGAAGTTGTCAAGTCACATTTAATACATAAAATTCCTGGCACTCGAGGTTTTGTCATGCACCATAGGGTTATTAAGAGTCTACGCATGCACATTGAAATATGAAAAAAAAACTCAATGTATATGTAAAAGAAATTTTTCAAGACAGTGAGATATAATGGTAACAAAATAATCTGAAAAAGTTTTGAGGTGTTATTTTGAAACTGGAGTATGTTTGTTCTTGTGAAAATAAATATTATACTTACACAATGATGTTTTGATTTTAAAGTGTGTTATGCATTATATTAACAGTAAATATCTCTCAAAGAAAAAAGTATATTATCTAAGCTCTAACTAATAGCAAAAAGATAAAAGATCCAGTATTTAAATAAAATTTCCTGACTGTATCTTTTTCTAATTATCATCACACTGCAAGAGTTCTTGTATGTAATTATTTTTAACTAATAATTTTATTTTCCTAATGATATTATAGATTGTTGCAGTAGATTCCCAGAATTCTTTAAATTCTTAGGCGGTGAATCTCCAAAATTAATTATGAAAAGATCAGTATTCATTTATTTTTAAAAATTGCAATATTCTTTATTTGTCATTTGCCTTGCATGCAGCCGATCTGAATTCGATTCCTCCACCCCTCTCAGAGAGTCCGGAAAGCTACCGAGAGTATTTAGCCCTCATGGCAAAGTCTGACAAGCTCCCTGTGAGGTATTCGATATGCCGAAAACAGTAACAACAAGTCTCACAATTTGTTGTGAGATGTTACTGGTGCCCGCTTGAGCAAATTGATGAACAATGGGAGGACAGTGTTACAGTGGACAGTGCTACTCCTTATTTGTATCAGCATCAATATTGCTGCATCTAATAAAATATATGCAAAGAAAACAGAAAAAATATCTACATTGTAACTGAAGAAAATATAATTTTAAAACTATGTTTTTAAGTTTTTTTGACATATTTTAGACATGGACACCATCTTCCCTGGTTCTACAATATGTGTCTCACATTTTGTCTCTAAAGCATTTAATACAATGGTTGACATATTGTCAATTCTTCAGTCACTGTACAGAATCCATTTCCTGTAATCTAGGTCAAAACACCTGTAGAGTTATGCTCATGTTTGTAAGAAATTTTTCTACAACCTAAACTTTTTAACTGGTTGTGCCATGTCTATAGTTCTAGACATCAAAAGCTTAAAATAGAATTACATGAATTTTTATTATAAACACAGTTTCTAAAATTGTGATATCGTATTATTTTTTAAAAATAGGATGACAATTCTTTCTAAATGTGCTGTTAAGTTTGTGTTCACACAGGATTAATATTGAGAGTGGCTGCTGATGATTTTTAGTTTCATAAAGAATTTTTCAAATATATTTCAAAAGTGACAGTTTCATTAAGAGATGTATGATCTGACTCATATACCTCTTTTGGGTGTATAAACATGAAAATCAGTATCAGTTTTCTTCACAAATCTATTTGAAAAGTGTAATATAAACAAATCATCATCATGTTTGCTCTTGGGGCAGCTAGCGGTACCATATCTATAAGGTATTAAAATAGCTATTTTATATTTTTCAAAGTAAATGTAACCAAATGTGTAGAGTGTTGTGTGTCTTGGAGTAGAGATGGTTCTTTTCTTTGTCCTACAAGACTTGAAAATGGCCCTTATTGAACTCAGGCACATCAATTTCCAAAACTATGTGTTGCTTCAAATCAGTTCTAGAGGAAGCTGAGTAGGTTTCAATGATTTGTTTTTTACTCTAATTTTTTTTTTATAGAATTCATTATAAGGCAATGAATATTACCAATAGGGTTGATAATATATTTATTTTTAACTTATTTCTCTGTTTGAAATGAAGATTACCTATTTGTCTTTCAATATATTTCAGTGAAATTAATTCTAGTAGACTTAAATTTATGCACTGCAATAAATATATTCAAGAGTAAATGATCACTATTAAAGATATTTCATTTAATTATCTTCGTCATAATTCTAAAGTTGTGACTGATAGTGTAAAATGGTACCGGATACAAACCAACAAGGATGGAATAGAGGATGCCTGGCCTATCTGACGGTGGCTGAATGTTCCGGTCTTGATCAACTGCTTGGATGGGTGGCGTCACGATGATGGGGTTGAGTTCTTCCTGGAAAAATTCAGATAATTCAGTTCAACTTCATCACTGAAAACTTTTTTTTTTTTCCCTCCCGTTGATCGTCGATTTGCTCGAGTGGGCCCAGTAACGTCTCCATTGGAGACTTTGTTGTTACTGTGTCTGGCATATCGAATACTCTCGGTAGCTTGCCGGGCTCTCCGAAAACTTTAGCGAATTGAAACTCAGTTATAAAACGGCTGGCGCCAGGGTGGCCTTCTCACCCGGCCCTGTGTCCTGGGGTCCGACGGGAGGCGGAAGGGGAGGGCAGAAACCCGCCCCTTGTTCGCAACTGCCATTCAGGCGGCAGCTCAGAGCTGGCCTGACCCCGCTGTCTCTGCTGCGTCCTGGGGAGCACTGCGATGGGAGTTCGGGGACTCTTGCCCGGAGGCGCCGGGAGAAGGAACAAAGGGGGCGCCTGGCAAGCTCCCGTGGAGTATTCGATAAGCCAAACACAGTAACAACAAGTCTCACAATGGAGACGTTACTGGGCCCGATTGAGCAAATCGATGAACAACGGGAGGCAGTGCAGTGCTATTATAAAATGAACTGTTAGACTCCATTCTAGGGGGAACTCACCATTTGTAATTTTTTACCTTAGATTTTTGTATCTAAAGCTGCAAGATGTCTTCAAACTCAAAATAAAGACATGTTAATTACATCTGCTAAAGTTTATATCAGCATTTTCTCCAAAAAGAAGATGAAGAAAGGTGTCAATAAACTTTAGACATTTATAAATTTAATCAAAAGCAATGTTAGGCGATCAATTGTAAATTATTGATCTTGACTTTAGAGACTATTTGAAAAATATACTTATTTTTTTCCTACATCATCGTTGAATATTTTACATAGTTAAACTTAAAGAAAAGTTCTAAATGGAATTCAGTTTAGATGTCATTGGTTTACCCATTATAGAATTTCACAGGTTTAGCTTCACAGTCCTCTAGAGAAGGATAAATTAAATTCATCAGCAATAGCACTTCTGGGAATATATCCGTATGGTTCAAAAAAGCACAGTAGAAATGACATCTGCACCTGTATGCTCATTGCATCAGTGTTCACAATAGCCGGAATCTGGAAGCAACCCAAGTGCCCAAGAACAGACAACTGGTTAAAGAAACTTTGGTACATCTACCCAGTGGAATAATACTATGCAGCTGTTAGGAGAGACGAAGTTATAAAATTTGCTTCTAAGTGGATGGTCATGGAGAGTATCATGCTAAGTGAAATGAGTCAGAAAGAGAGAGACACAGACAGAATGACTGCACTCACTTGTGGAATATAAAATAACATCATATGAGACTGACACCCAAGGACAGTAGACACAAGGGCCAGGAATACTGCTCCATAGTTGGAAGTCTGTCTCATGACATGGGGGAGAAGGTAGCTGGAATAGAGAAGAGATCTCTATGACAATTAATGGTTGGAGGAATCGTTTGGGATGGGAAATGTGTGCTGAAAGTACATATAGGACCAAACATGATAGCCTTTCAGTATCTGTAATGCAAACCATAAATCCCAAAAGGAGAGAGAGAGAGAGAGAGAGAGAGAATGAAGGAAATTGTCTGCCTTAGAGGCAGGGGGAGGGTTGAAAAGGGGAAGCGTAATACTGCAGACATTGGTGGTGGAGAATGTGCACTGGTGGAGGGGTGGGTGTTAGATTATTGTATGACTGAAACTCCTACATGAAAGTTTTGTAACTGTATCTCACGGTGATGCAATAACAAAATAATAATAAAAAAATTAAACTCATCACTTCCATCACTGAAGTTCTAGTGCCATGAAAGCTCCATTGTTTAAAATTTCACGTAATTAAAGTTAATCACACATAGAGGTATGGACATTTAACTTATAAATTTTGGAAGAAGATGCTATTGAAAGGTAAAATATATTTTTGTAAGTCATTGTTTACCAACTTGATTTCCAATGATATTTATTCTGCTACAAAGATTTGAATGCAATTTATTTGAGAGATATCTGATACTATGTTCAGGTATTGCCAGATAGGCTATTTTTATCAGAACTTGTAATTTTTTTTCATTGAAACTCAAAAACAACAAGTGGACATTTTTATGTTACAATAATACTTTATTTACAAAAACAAGTGCTGAGTGGTTATTTGCTTGCCACAAATCTTTTTTCATTATTTTTATGCTGAAAAACAAATAAGGTATTTAATAGATCACATGAAAAGCCATATAAACAGATTTCAAAATGTTAATATAAGTCTTCATTCTGCATCACTGAGTGACCCAAAGGGCTTCTTCCTTTATTCTAAGATACTGATTTATACGAGACTTTTCAGAAATTTAAATATATTGATTTGTAGAATGACCATCTAAGAAGGTATTATTTGCACTGTTTCTACAAAACAGCTCCTTGAATATCATTAGAGCATAATTTGCTAAATGTCAAAGTCTATGCAAATCTCAGTCCAAAATTTTAAATAATAATTATAACAAATAAAATCAGCACCAATATCTGACAACTTCATATTCTAACAACTTAATTCAAAGTTCTTTTATTTTATCTTTTTCTCCAAGCACAGAACACTGAAATAAATAATTTACTTCACAGATGTTAGGAGCATATCATAGTGCCCCAGGTTGTGTCAAAGAAGCGTATTAATTATTTTGAGTTGCAAAAGCAGTCAACAAATAAATGATGCACTAAAAATCCCTTTCTTCTAAATTTTCACTGGCCCTCTCCTGTTTCCTTTGAAAGCAAGATATCAATCTCCTTGTGAAAGATACTTTCCCTGCATAGAGATGTAGAAGCACCAGATTTGTAAGTGAGAAGGACTAAATACTCTATTAATGAGTTCTGATAAGCTTTCTAAATTAACTTTTCAAACAAAACTCTAAGAAACTCTTTATCCCGTCTGTTCATCGTTTTGTTGCTTGTTTTCTAACAACTATATAAACTATCTTTTAATCACTTATAATTTGTGAAGCTCTTTGTGTGTTGAAATAAATTTAATTTATTTTTACTAATGTCTCTGATATCAATTTATTTTTGGCACACTACAAGGAGAAGAGAAAGCGGGCAGGAGTGTTCCCAAATTTCTCCTACAAATCTCAATAAAATATATTGTGATGGCATACTGAGGTTATATTTAATACATAATTTTTATTGTTGTATTATTTTAAAATTATATTATTCATAGGTAATTAACCTATTGAATTTTTCACAATAAAGATGATAGTTGGCTAGTAATTTGGAGACCACACACATTTTAAGAAATCTGTTGAGTAAATCATCTAATAACTCAATAATCTAAGTTCTCTAAGTTCTAACAATAATTATCGCTGGAGCGATAGCACAGCAGGTAGGGCATTTGCCTTGCATGCAGTCGACCTGGGTTTGAGTCCTCCGCCCCTCTCAGAGAGCTTGGCAAGCTACCAAGAGTATCTTGCCCTCATGACAGAGCCTGGCAAGCTCCCTGTGGCATATTCAACATGCCCCAAACAGTAACAACAAGTCTCACAATGGAGACATTACTGGTTCCCACTTGAGCAAATTGATGAACAATGGGAGGACAGTGACAATTATCAGAAAAAAAGAGCTATTGGTAGAAACTACTTACTAATATTCAATTTGTTTCTTCAAGTACAACTTTAGAATTCTGGAAATATCTAATTGAAATCAAATTTTTTCATTAAGTCTATAAGACTATTATTTATTTCACACAATACAATGTAATCTCATTCTTATCTCCCAACTGTTTCAGCCTGGTTTTCATTTTTTCTATCACTTCCTCTACTACTCTCAGTTCCTCTGCAAATGTACACACACCGTAGTGTTTACTTTCAATATAATAACATAGTTCTTTCTAAAATGAAAAATAAAACAACCCAAACATCCAACTACGGATGCCTGGTACATATACACAATGGAAAACTATGCAACTGTAAGAAAGAGCAAAAGCATGCAATATACAGCAACCTGGACAGAACTAGATGTTATGCTGAGTGAAGTCACTCAGAAGGAAAGAGACAGAATCTTCTCTCTTATATGTGGGTCTTTAAGATATACAGCAAGCAGGGACCGGAGCGATAGCACAGTGGGTAGGGCGTTTGCCTTGCACGCGGTCGATCTGGGTTCGATCCCTGGTGTCCCATATGGTCCCCCAAGCACCGCCAAGCACAGCCAGGAGATATTCCTGAGTACAGAGCCAGGAGTAAACCCTGAGCATCACTGGGTGTGACCCAAAAAGCCAAAAAAAAAAAAATACAGCAAGGTAGCAACAAAGATCCAGAGGTAATATAATAGGAAAACTGACCCCCACACACGGTGATTTGGAAGGGGTTGGGGTTGAGAAGGAGTGGTGCTGGAGTCCTGGGCTAAACTGGGGAAGGGTGTGGTGTCGAGATAATGTGCAGGAGAAACTTTTATTAGCAGTAGAAAAATCTACAGACTCTCAATCAATAAAACATTAAAATGTTTAGGAAATAAAGAAAATAAATAAACTTAAAAAATCAGAAGTTCTTCAAAGCAAAAAAGCAAAATCTTTAAATGTAAAGACAAAAGATTTGTTCCTTCTTGTATTTCCCAAACAACTCAGATTCTTACTCAGCTTGAAGCTAAACGTTTTTAGTCCTGTTTAAATTAATTACTTCCTTTGTAGTTTTTTCAAAAGCATGGTTGTACTCAGACCTCAAGAAAGCAATGACATCCTGCTTCCCGAGATTGGTAAATATATCAAGAGGGCCCAAACAATCTCACTGCTGGCTCTGCAGAGATCTCTCCTGGCAGACTTTGGGGACCGTGTGGGGTAATGGGGATAGAAAAGAGTTGCCAGGGATCAAGCCCGGGCCCACCTTGTGCAAGGCCAGTGCCTATCCACTGTAGGATCTCGCTAGCCTCTTGGAATTTTAAAAGAAATGAAACTGGGCACCTTTCCGTAGAGTGCTGAATATGAACAGATAACAATCTCTGAGGGCACCAGTGCTGATTATCATTATTGTGCTTATTTCTGTATAGCTGCTGTTCTG